GGCTCCCGGAGTGTGACGGCTCCGGCTGCGCTCCCGCAGGTGCAGGACCTGGAGCAGCAGAACAAGGTGCTGACCACGAGGTGGAACTTCCTGAAGGAACAGGACAATTCCCAGTCGGACGCCGACGTCCGGGCCATCTACGAGCAGTTCATGGGCAGGATGAGCCAGGAGAGGAAGGCCCTGAGCCTGGAGCAGGAGAACCTGGAGCGGGAGCTGGAGAAGGTGCTCGGCACCATGGACGCCTTCCGCAGCAAGTGGGTGCCACATTCCGGGGGGTTAGAGCTTGGGAGCACAGGGAGAAGGTGGGGGGGGTTGGCAGATCCAGCCTGGGATTCCCAAGGGAGAAATTCCCAGTTTGGAAGTGTGGGTTTGGGAATTTGGGGTCCCAAACTCTTCCTGGGTAATGGGAAAGGGAAGGAATCCGATAAAAATTTAATTCCAAAGAATTCAGGGGCACAAGGAGAAGGTGGGATTGGTTTGACAGATCCAGCCTGGGATTCCCAAGGGAGAAATTCCCAGTTTGGAAGTGTGGGTTTGGGAATTTGGGATCCCAGCTCCTTCCTGGGTAATGGGAGAGGGAAGAAAACCGATAAAAATTTAATTCCAAAGAATTCAGGGGCACAGGGAGAAGGTGGTGGGGGGGGGGGTTGGCAGATCCAGGCTGGGATTCCCAGGAAGATAGTCCTGGTTTGGAAGTGTGGGTTTGGGAATTTGGGATCCCAAACTCTTTGTTGGTAATGGGAGAGGGAAGGAATCCCATCCAAATGGAATTCAAGGGCACAGACTCCAGGGAGTTCAGGGGCACAGGGAGAAGGTGGGGTTGGTTTGACAGATCCAGCCTGGGATTCCAAGGGAGAAATTCCCAGTTTGGAAGTGTGGGTTGGGGAATTTGGGATCCCAGACTCTTTGTGAGTAATGGGAGAGGGAAGGAATCCCATCCAAATGGAATTCCAGGGAGTTCAGGGGCACAGGGAGAAGGTGGGATTGGTTTGACAGATCCAGCCTGGGATTTCCAAGGGATAAATTCACAGTTTGGAACTGTGGAACTGAGAATTTACTTTTCCTGGTAATGGGAGAGGGAAGGAAACCCATCCAAATGGAATTCCAGGGAGTTCAGGGGCACAGGGAGAAGGTGGGATTGGTTTGGCAGCTCCAGCCTGGGATTCCCAGGAAGATATTCCTGGTTTGTAAGTGTGGGTTTGGGAATTTGGGATCCCAAACTCTTTGTCGGTAATGGGAGAGGGAAGGAATCCCATCCAAATGGAATTCCAGGGAATTCAAGGGCACAGACTCCAGGGAGTTCAGGGGCACAGGGAGAAGGTGGGGTTGGTTTGGCAGCTCCAGCCTGGGATTCCCAAGGGAGAAATTCCCAGTTTGGAAGTGTGGGTTTGGGAATTTGGGATCCCAAACTCTTCCTGGGTAATGGGAGAGGGAAGGAATCCCATCCAAATGGAATTCCAGGGAATTCA